GATTCTGGAATGGATGAAGGCCCGTGCTATCAAGCCTAAGTGGAGCGACGTCTCAGCGATGAGTTCGACCACTAGAGGCTCAGTGGGACGGCTTGCTGATTCAGGATGGAGTCTTGTGCCCTAAATGGGACAATGGTCCAGGAGACAGCTGTCGTTTGTAAATGGTTGTCCCTAAGGCTAAAGTTCCGAATGTTCTACAGCTGTGCCATAATGGTCGTTCAAGAGTCCATCTGGGAGTTAAACGAACTCTACTGAAGGTCCGAGAACAGTTTTACTGGGTCCATTATCGTGACGATGTCGAGGATTGGTGTCGTACATGTACAAGTTGTGCGGCCGTGAAGGGACCTCAGACACGTAGTAGAGGAAGCATCGAAATTGTACAATGTTGGTGCACCATGGGACAGCCCTTGACATTGCGGAGCCGTTACAGAAAGGCGCAAGAGGGACTCCTAAGATCGTCCATGTGGATCGCCTGGCGCGTTATTATGGGGCCGATAATGCTCGGGACGAGCATGTCTTAGGAGGGAGCAGTGTTACGCGCGTAAGTCGACGGCACTAGCGCCATCTAGTGTCAGAGACGAGAACGAGGGGAGCTTTCCAGAAAATGACATCACTAATCTTTCAACCGACAGCGCCATCTGTTGTTGAAACGAAGAACTAAGCTTCTGGAAGCTGACTCTGAACTTTCGCTTTGTCTGGTGGTGAATGTTCTGGATGATTCGGTACTAATGTGTATTTATAGGCGCTACAAGGTGGTGGTGCAATATAAATAACAAGATTATAAGAAATGAAATGCAACGTTCTGCGTTGGAACGTCAGTTCGTTCTGTCTTACTCAATATATGCTGTTTGTGAAAGGAGAGAGCGCAATATATAGAACCCTTGTTTCTTCGTTCGTTCGAGGACGAGTAATAGTAAAACTATTTATTTTTACGATTGCAAAACGGTGTGTAGTGGCGGTGTATGAATATCCATATCATCCCGTGGGTCTCGTAGGAGGCGATTAGACTTGGGGAAAAGTGTTATTTTTAAATAACTGTGACCGTATTTCCGGTTACAAAAAAGTCACAGTGAAAAATAATTGCGACTTAGTCACGTTCATAATATTGGATAACTACTTGGAACATTAGAATAACGACTTATAACGTGACTTTAAATGTGCATTTTAGATTTAATATTAGGTTTTATTTCAGTTGTCATTTCTTTATTACCTTTCTTACCTAAGCTACGAACATGGCTATGTTATAAGTACCATTCTAATTATTATATTTGAAATATACGAATTTCACCTAACCTCAGTTGGTGTACCGTTCCAGTATACGGTACATGTACTTTGTTACACAGTAACAAGGTACGCGTAGTTCCTTTTGTTTGGTTAAATCAGTGACAGAAGTAAAGGAGAAAATAGTACGGTGACGGCGCGAAGGAAAAACGTTATATGGAACGTAGTTGGAGAGAAGGGGAATTTTATTATTTGATTAAATATTTTTGTATAATTCTTATATAAAACATTTAAAACGTTGAACGCCGCGCGGCCCACCGGTGGGCCTATCATGACTTTCCATTGGGGCCAAGTCAAAATCACGTAATCCATAATTTTTCACAACTTCAGATTTTTATACCAAAGTTTGGTAAATGCTATGGACTAGTATAAGAGATATAGCAAGAGGCTCACCGGTGGGCTGCGTGGCCTCCTAGGAAGGTTTACAGAATTTCAGTACACGGGGGCCACGGGGTCACGCGGCGGCTCACCACGAACTAGTGCAATTCTAGGCTCTATAGCACTTTTTTTTAAATATCTAAGCACTAAAAAATATCTAGTGGAATCTGGCGAAAAGTTTGATATAAGTTGGCAGCACAGTGTGATAAAAACACTAGCGAGTCTATCGTTCGTGATCGTTCGGATATACCCCGACCAAAATGTTGCTGATGCATTAATTGTTTTACCTCCCTTTTGCATAATGGCATGTAGCTGTTTTGCTTTTCATTATATTAATCCTCTAAGTTTTAGTACCTGAGATGTGTGTTTTTCCCACGTTCAAGTTTCGTGTAAGTTTTTTTGCTCAGTTTTGTTTGTTTCGTGAACATTTTAAATGGAGTTGACACCGAGGAAGAACGCTTATAGCCAGAAATATAGATCCGAATAGGGAGCAAATAGCGTGGAATTTAATTGGTAAAATAAGAAGGTGATGGTGATGATATAGAGAAAGACCGAGAAGAAAGAAACATACTCTGGAAAAGAAAGAGGGCTTGGCAAGAACCGTCAGAAGGACATGTTGCTAAGGTTAGGCAGAAAACATACCAATCATGGGTAACAAACAAGCTAAATCAAAAACTACTACTAAAGGTATAATATATTGCCAAAAATGTCCACACTAACCTTCTCCTTGCTTACCTTGTTTTAACAGAATCCATTCATAATATTGTTTTTATAATAGTTGATTTTTAATTTGATTATAAAAAGAAGTGTCATTATAAGTTATAGTTACCTGGATGACCGAGCTTTCCTCTGTATTTTTTTTTGGAAGTTATGTGTTTTGGAAATTATATTTAGATACAAATTACATACTGTATACATGTTTCATCATGAATAATATTTTTTGATCTTATTGACATAACAGAAAAAAAACTGAACTGGTTATTTGAATAAAAAATCATGAGTGCAATTAGTTTAATTTAAATTTTCGTGTTTTTAAAAAAATACTAAAAAGGGGCACAAAAGAAGGGAACTTCAAAAAAAAAAAAAGAAAAAAGTCGGACCGAAGACGGGATGCGAACCAGGACACCTCGATTTCACGACCGCCAGATATCATTAATACACTGTCAAAATTTACCTTCTTATATTGTAGCAGTTTTTCATTGCCTAAAAACACGGACAAAACGACATTTTCTAAAAATGAAACCTAGCAAGATCGATTTATTGCCCCCGAAACCCTCTTGGACACTACATTTTATGAAAATCGTTGGAGCCGTTAGGAGAAGAAGCGTTATGTTCTGTTTATGAAGTTATGTTCTGGTTATGAAGAATTTAATTATTTTAAGTTGATTTTGTTGTAAAAGAAGTACTAAGTGTAATGTTAAGTTCGATTAACTGATGATTTAATTATTTTTAGTTGTTTTTAATGTAATAAACATATAATAATTATTTGTTTGTTTTATTCGCGCTATTTATACAAACAAAAAAATAAGGCACGTCACTAAGATCGTAGTTAGGACTTTATCTTTGATACAACTACGAGTTTCTATGGGATTTGAAAACCATGTCGACTGGAGCAGTCCAGGGGCCACGCGGCTCACTTCCATATGCGTTTTGTTTAATAACTGCAATTTGTGGCTTGTGAGACCCGTTTACAGTGAACCTCTTTGCGCCTGCTCACCGGTGACTCCCGTGGCCTGAATGGAACAACTAGGTAAGGACGGAAAGTCTCGATTTTTTGCGTGGCGTTCAACGTGTTAAAAAATAGTTGTTCTGAGCATTCTTATCTTTGGTTCTGAGAAATGTAATGTACTCTGTGGTCCTGAGGGTCCCTTCTAAATATTACTTAAAGATGTTTTATTTTTAACGCAGTATATTATAATATTTTTGCTATTACTATACTCTTTGTATGTACTATATATACTCTTTGTTGTTCGTATAGGTTTACATATTTTACGCGGTAAAATCAATGATTTCAAAAAAAAGTAATATTTAAGTCAATGGGTCAACACGTCGATCGTCTGAACTTGACAGATTAATGATGTAATTTTGTATGTATGCCATCTTTGCTTATTCAACTCGTTTGTATGCAATTTGAACCTAGACATGTTTCAATCATGAATGATTCGTTCGTTTGAGCTGGTACACTTAAAAATATTGATAATTCATTCTTCTATTTAGGAATATTTTGGTACAAGGAATCACAAACAATAGGGTATTACACCCATTTTTAAAAAGTGTTTTAAATCAATCCTAGTGATAATGAACCACTATAACTTTTATATAAATTTTTTAAAACCGAATAGTGCCATAAAATTACTTTTAATCTATTGTTTTAAATTTTCGCGTGAAAACGCTAACCGCCATGCTGTTCAATTCATGACGTCATTGTCCCAGAATTTTGGCAATTTGCAAAGGAATAAGATACTTTTTCGTGGTTGACTGGTAGAGAATGCCTAAAGGCATTAAGTCCGCCAATTGTACATTTTAAGTGCAATAAAGTTTTTAAATAAATAAATACTTTTTATCGTTTAATAATGAGTTATCATCTATATCATTGTAGTGTTGTGCCTGAATGCAAAAATACGACCATAAGAATACCGAGAAAGTTATGGATTCAAGTGCCAACTGATTTAAATATAAGAAATATTTGGTTAAACTGGCAATATCCGAATACATTGTCTACAAAAACTAGACATTCTTCTGTGAAGTTCATTTTGATGTAAGTATGACTTATAATTATCTATTGTTTATGCAAAACAAAACATCATGAGGTGAAGGTATTATAACTAATGATTGCTAATGATTGTAATTGTAGATAAACTAAACTATCATAGCTACTAAACTATGTTTTATCAAAATACACTCTGACCTGGTATTGTCTTTTTGTATAAACAAAAGTTGGTAATAGGTACTTACATTGATGTTTTAACGTTCCTCAACTCAGCGGAACAAAAATTAGAATTGCATGAAAAAAATTTTGCCAACATCCATTTATTTATCTTTGGTAGATTAGTACCTTCTGCTTTTACGAATTCGTCTTCCATGATGCCTTTTCAATAAAATTCAGAATAATACTCAATAATCGTAATGATAACTTGAAAAATTTCGAAATAGCATAGCACATTAGCTATAGTTTTTTTTAATCAGTGACACAGAACACTAATACCCTTAGGAGGCATCAGTGACGTCACGACAGTTCTAATATGGCGGACAGCGTTTTGCAGATTTGAGGCATGGACAAAAAAGTTCATTTTATAAATAATAAAAAAAATCTTCTTCTTCTCCCTGGCTATTGTCCCATTTTAATTGGGGTCAGCCCTCCTAGTAATCTTGCGCCACATCGTGCGATTGTGGGTTGTCCTTTCTGATATGTTAGTAGATTTCAGGTCGTTTTTTAGTGTTTGCAGCCAGGTTATTGGTGGTCGTCCACGGCCTTTCTTCCCCTCTTCTATGTTCATAACTTTTTTAGTCATATGGTCATCATCCCGTCTCATCACGTGTCCGTACCAGCGTAGACGGTTTTCTCTAAGTTTTTCGTGCACCATAGCAACCTTAAAACTACCACGAATGTAATCGTTTCTTATTTTATCTGTTCTAGAAACTCTTCCAGACCAACGTAGCATTTTCATCTCAGACAATAATAAAAAAATATTTCTCGTTTTTTTTTCACAAAATTTATCATATATATATATATTATGAATTTTTTACATGATGTAAAATACTCTATTGACGTAACCTTTTTTTACACGTGATTGGTGTGAATTGTGAATGAGTCAAGTACAGACCAAGTCCCGAATGATCCGAATGAATTGTTTTTAGTGTAGGGTACACAGTGCAGTGCATGCATTCGAAAGTGTTGCCAAGTTAGGCGATTTTTAGCTATTTAGGCTTGCTCTAAAGTAATCGGAGCGATCAAAATTGTGATTTTCAACTCGTTGCCAAGTGCCTACTTGGAGAGAAGGCAATTGTAAAGGATTATAAAGGATGCTATGAATCTTTTATAAGAAAATAATAAATTGTAGATTTTGCAACTGGCTTCTTAAGTAATTTTTTTATTCCATTGTAGTCTACTGCCTGGTTCAACCATTCGGAGCGCTCCACCCGCGGCTCGCCCCGCACCGCACCGCGTGAACGCTCGTCTAGACCCCTTCGATAATTGATTGTTAGTAGTAGTTTGACTGTGTCAACACGACCGGAGAGAGACGCAGGACCATAGACAATACCTATATACGAGAGACGCAGGACTAACGGCTTTACGTGCTTTTCGAGGCACGGGAGTGAAACACTGCCAACTTCCTGACTCCGGGCTGCAACTGACAATTTCTTGACAGAAAAGCCCAATAACTGATTCTGACCTGATTTGAGATTCGAACCCTCATGTATCGTGTTTACAACTATTACAACCAACGAGGCAGTCACACGCCGCGGATACTCAAATACAGTTATTAACAAAACTTATGGATTCTATGACGCAGTAAAACTCCGAGCATAGGTCTCTCCATAACTCTGTGACTGACTTTGAGCTCCCTTAGTAGTGAAAAGCCGCCTCATTGTTTCTGTGGTGGCATTTTACTGGTAAAACGAGGTGATTGATTTAAAGTGATTTTTGGAAGCTGATCAGCTGAGTTAGATTCTTGACTCACTTTTTGTTCAAGCTCACTTACTTTATCCGACAATTTTTCCGAGATGAAAATTTTACATACTTGTCAACATATTTTAGCGTAGTGTTCCCGAAAATTACCACCATAAGTGGGAGATGGGTGTTAATTAATTTATTAAATTAAATTATACTTGTGGTTAATTAAATTAAATGAATTAATTTTTTAGAGTTAAGTAAGATTTTTGATATTTTAGTTCATAAAGAAGGAATGCATCTACCGTTTAGAATAAAGACTTTGTTTTGTGTCTTTGGGAATTTTTTACTAATAATTGACTTGTCAATAATAATGGAAAAATCTACGTCCTAATTGTTTTTTACTACAGTTCCTAAGCTCAACTGAAAATCTCTAAGTCCTACTTAAAATCCTAAGTCCTAAAGCTTTTGTTCTAAGTCCAAACATATTTTTAGTACTTTTCTTACGTTCAAATTAAATATTTTAGATTAACGTTCAGATTAAATTCTTTAAAATAACGTCCAACAGACGTTATTTTTAAAGAACTCCCTAAACGTTATTCTTTGACAACCATTCTTTTTTTAAACTTTTTACAATATCGTTTCAAGGACCATATCGTTTCAAACCAGAAAAAAAGGACTTAGGGACATCTTGAACTGGGCCATTCATACACTTATTAAACACAAATTATTTACTTGTACTACTTGTAGTATAAAAAATGTAAAATGTACCTCTTTTGTAAATGGTGCTAGTGTACGTGTGCAAATAAGAATTCTTTTAAGCCGGATCCCCCGTGTTTATTTTACCTTACACACTACACGAAGACACCCACACGAAACAAAACATCCGCAGGAGATCCTGCTTTATAGGCAGTCAAATAAATAAACATAATAATATGCATTCATTTATTTGTTAATTTGGACCTCTATTTTAAAAAGTCTTCAGCAAAACGGATTATGACGTCTCTCGTGAAAGAGTCGCCCATACTGTTTACAAGTTTTTTATGTAAGTATACTGACCATACAAAGCCCTTTTAACCTGCCACTTGACGATAAGTGATGCTGTGGCCAATAGACATCTATATTTATCTTCAATTAAGAATCAAAATGCAGATGCGTTGCCAGCCCTGAGGACTGAGATGGAATGCCTCGTTTCCAGTAAAAAGGGTCTCCGGTTCTATTGGTCTGCTATTTTAGACTGGTATTCTGTGAGAGCGTAGTCATACCCCGGTCGAGCCGACCCATTCGTGCTGCAACCACAATAAAGCTGCAGCGTGATTCTACCACGTAAAAATGCCATGCCTTCGATCATTGTTGATCCCAGCCATGTTTTTTTTCGCGGCTTTTTGCTCTGGAATAAGGCATTGTCAGTAAAATCATGAGTTCCGCAAAAAATAATTGTATTAACTATAGGTTTTAATGCATTGACCTGTGCGCATAGCAATCCGTAGATTTGTTTTTACGTTGCCAAAAAAAAATGGCAGGCGCACACGGTTCACTGTACTATTGACTATCTACAAGTGCTTTGCCTTTACTATAATTGTGTATATCCTTATACTTGGTGAATGGTTGAACAATAATCCCTGTACACCATGTAAAACTTTCGGCGTAAATAAAACGTAAAACAAACAAAACGCACTTTTAATTCACATAGAAAAAAAAGCAATGTTTTTAAGTATTAACGTAGGTAAAATCAGTTCTAGCTGCATTAATCGATAAGATGACTACAACTTTCATAAAATCGTGAACCTGGTTTACTCAACCTACACCTAGGTACGAACAACATTGTTGCAGCCGAGTGTACGAGCTCTCGGCCAGATTCGATAATCTTCTAGCTTGCTGCTACATAATTATCAATCTTCGTCCGTCGTCGGTGAGGCAGCGGGTGGCTGGTGAGCGTGGCGCTTGCTTGCTGCACTATTGTGTTGTTTGAATACTACAATTTGACCGGGCGCATTTTTTAAAAGTTTACGCGTAATATATTGTAAAGTAAGTCGTAACACTCGCCTCACCTTAGGTACGCCCATGAATACGATGTAAGTATCGGGATATAACCTGTCTGTCTAGTGGGTTTTAAGTCATCAAGTCTAAGTAAGAACTAAGTAGGTACTCACACCAATGACGGGGAACGGTATCGATGGTGCAAGGCGTTTAGTGCTGAATTACCAATCCAACTGCTAAGCATAGTGATTACAGTCAATCTCTCTTAGAGAGAGTGTTTGGTCCAATTTTGTACATATACTACGCTAATGACAAACATATGAGTAAATATATTTTTGCCATGTAAATAAGTAATGTCGATGACCATATTACGAATGAATAAAAAAAAACTATTTTCTAAAATTTTATTGTTTAAATTAATTCGTGTAATAGAAATATCTATATGTATCTGTTCAGATATATTTTCTATTGTATTCACGTCACTTGTGCGTGACTCATTTTTTATATTTATATTTTAATTTAATGTAAATGTCAGGAACTGTCCAACAGGATGTTACTTATACAAAATTTAAAGCGGTTATTATGGTATTTGCATGTTTAAAACTGGTCGGTAATAAATACCTCTTTCATATTCCGATTTGAAAACGAGAAACTTTTAACTGTACAGGATATATTATGATGATGTCTTTTTTATCTTTACTTACCTACATTTAAAAATTACGTGTCACATATATTTTGTCCGCGATAATTGTGCTAACTGAACTGATTTCCATGAAATTTTGAAAACTGTGTGCGGTTTGGTCCAACTTGAGAGATAGGATAGTTTATATCCTGATACGTACCGTCATTTTTTACTGCGAATCTAAGGATTTTTATAGGAAGGGTTGTAGGAAAGTACAGGACAATGTATGCCTGTCCGCCTAGTATTACTATATAATACTCGTATATGGTTTTTTTATAGGATAAAGGTGACAAACGAGCACACAGTCCATATGATGGTAAGTGGATGCTGTGGCCCATAGACATCTACATTCGATTAAGATTAAAAATGCAGATGCGTAAAACAGCAGTAAAACTGGTCTCCGGTTTTGTGCACCATACGAAACACAGCAGCATTAAGTTGCTATTTTACGCTGGTTTTCTGTGAGAGCGTGGTTCTTCCCCGGTCGAACCTACTCATTTATGCTACAACCATAATACAGCTGTAGCGTGGCTCTACCACGTAAATAACAAAAAATATACGTTTTAACTAAACACCAAAAACCATAATTAAAAAGCTGAAGGTACTCCGGGTTAACACTGACATCGGGACGTCAGTCACCTCAGTCCACCGTGACCATGGCTCCTGGAAAGCACCCGAAACGTCGGGTATTAAATATAATAAATTAAACGCGATAAAATCCGTAAAAGTTGTTGTAATCAATACATTATCTTTTATTAATAATAAGCAAATGATCATGAAATGCACGAATCACATCCACAAATGCATTTATTTTAAGTTAACGGATATCTTAATAGGATTTTACTCCCACGCGGAGTGGAAGCAGAACGAGTAGGTACGCATATCAAACATTAATTTTGGAGATGTTTTATTTTTGCCCACATTTAGCAGTACAATGACCATTTTAGCGACACACATTATAATGAATAACCCATTATTTTTTTCAAGTGGGAGTTACATCAGTCAGGGTAAATCTAATGAATATATTTAATATTTAACAAATCTTGATTCGTTGTTGTATTTGTTCCTTTTACGATCATGATCATTATCATCATTACAGCCCTTCACAAGTCCGCTGAGCATAGGCCTCAAAGCACCGTCCTGAGCCACCTGCATCCATCGACTTCCTGCATGTCTTACCAAGTGGTCACTCCTTCTAGTGGATGGACTCACCATACACTTCGCCTACCGGTACAAGACTGCCACTCGAGAACCTTCTTCCCCCATCGGTTATCGATTCTTCGAGCTATATGACTGGCCCATTGCCACTTCAGCTTACTAATTGGTTGGTCTATGTCGGTTATTGAATGAATTTTTGTACCTTTTACGGTACAAAATGCCAATTAATAAAACAG